ATGGATCGGTAGATCAGTGGATTGCAAGAGCAGTGGATCATTAGATCGCTAGATTAGTGGATAAGTAGATCGATTGATTGGTAGATCAGTAGATCGCTTGAGCAGGGGATCTGGAGATGGATTGGTAGATCAGTGGATCGGTAGATCGCTGGATTATTAGATCGCTAGGTCAGTAGATATCTAGACCAGTGGATCACTAGATCAATGGATCATTAGATCGCTATATTAGTGGATCGGTAGATCGGTGGATGATTAGATCGGTACGTCAGTTGATCAATAGGGCAGTGGATCTGTACATCGATGGATCGGTAGATCAGTGGGTGGCTAGATAGGTGGGTTAGTATATTGCTACACGACTGGATCACTGCACGCGATCAGTGGATCACTAGATTGATGGATCATTAGATCGCTAGATCAATGGATCGGTAGGTCGATGGATCGGTAGATCAGTGGATCATTAAATTGCTAGATTAGTAGATCGGTGGATCATTAGATCGCCTGATCAGTGGATCTGTAGATCGATGGACCGTTAGATCAGTGGATCGCTGGATCAGGGGTTGATTAGGTCGCTAGAACAGTGAATCTTTGGATGGCTAGATCGGTGTATCTGTAGATCGCTAGAACGGTGTATCTGTAGATTGCTAGTTCGTTGGATGAGTAGATCGCGTGACTGGTGGGTCTGTATATCGTTAGATCTTTGGATCTGTAGATCGCAAGATCGGTGGATCAGTAGATTTCTGGATCGGTGGATCTGTAGATTGCTAGATCGGTGGATCAGTGGGTCGCTTGATTGATTGATCATTAGGTCGCTAGATCAGTGGATCGGTAGGTGAATGGATCGGTAGATCAGTGGATTGCTGGATTAGTGGATTATTAAATTGCTAGATCAGTGTATCATTAGATCGCTAGGTCAGCGAATCGCTAGATTGGTATATCGCGAGATCGGTGGATCTGTGAATCGATGGATCTGTATATCAGTGGATCGCTAGATCGGTGGATCATTAGTTCGTCTGATCAGTAGATCTGTAGATCGGTGGACCGCCAGATCAGTTGATCGCTGGATCAGGGGTTGATTAGCTCGCTAAAACGGTTAATCATTGGATCGCTAGATCAGTGGATCGCTAGATCGGTGGATCTGTAGATTAATGGATGGATAGCTAGATCAGTGGATCGCTAGATCGGCGTATCTGTAGATTGCTAGTTCTTTGGATGAGTAGATGGCTGGACTGATGGAACTGTATTTTGTTAGATCTGTGGATCTGTAGATCGCAAGATCGGTGGATCAGTAGATGTCTAGATCGGTGGATCTGTAGATTGCTAGATCGGTGGATCAGTAGATCAGTAGATCAGTAGATCGAAGGATCTGTAGATGGCTCGATCAGTGGATCTGTAGATCGCTAGATCGGTGGATGTGTAAATCGATGGATCGCTAGATCGCTGGAACTATGGACTTTTAGATCTGTGGATCGGTAGGCCGGTGGATCTGAAGATTGATGGTTCGGTAAATTCCTAGATCTATGTATCTTTAGATCGCAGGGGCGGATCTAGGGGGAGGGTGCAGGGGGTGCGCACCCCCCCCCCCCTGAGGTGACCTGCGGTTTTCTAATACAACTGGTAAGAAAAAAAAGCATGTGGTTTATTGGTGTTGAAGTAGAGCAAGAGACGAGTGCACCCCCTCCTAAAAAAAAATCCTGGATCCGCCCCTGGATCGTTAGATCTATAGATGTGTTGACCTGCGGGTCGGTTGATCGGTCTGGGCCCCTTTTCCACTTGTCAGCTATAATATGTAGATTTAGCCAGGACTGAAAGCGAAGCCTCCTTATCTATACTTATGATAAAAGGAATCAAATTTAAACTAAGAACATGAACTTGAAGCCAGAAGGAAAGAAAGAAGGAGCCTTAGGCATCAGTTCAGGGGAGCTGAATGATGAAGAAAAATATTAAAGTTATGGCTACATGAGTCATATATGTAAACTGCGGGGTGAAGAATTACATGAAAGTAGAGTATCACAGATATAGACGCAATTATAGATGCAACTTTCGAATCCCATACAAGTTTGAAATATTTTTAGGCTTTGTTTTCTCAATCTACCGAAAGTTGCGTCTACAACATGCCATGATTTACTTTTATATAAAAGATATCCCTTCAACAACCCTGAATTGGACAAATTATGAACCTGTAGGTCTCTCTAGTAGAAGCAATTTACAGGTTACGATTTCTAGGGTTAGGGTTTCTGTCATAAAGGGAAGAAGAAGATTAGGCCGACTTAGGGACTTTTGTGTTCCAGTAAGCACATTATATTTTCTTTTCTTTTCTCCTTTTTTTAACGGCTTTGTGTATAAACGTTTGTAGAGTAGCCTAGCGTGACTTTGAAACATCTTTGCGTGCATCTTTCTGTTTGAAAAACGCAAGAATGGGGCGGAATGTATCAGAGGTATAAACATATAAACTTGAATAAAATGCAAAGATCTAATGAGCGAGTGTAACGGGACAAAGAGTCTCTAGAAAGGCATAACAATAGTCTTGAAAACAAAAGGTCTGCAAATTCGATGCATTCCTCACGGGAGTTTAGGGCTGTCTCAATGTAAATCGAGTTGCAAAAAACATGCTGGTTGACAAAATCTCTCCAAAGACTAAAATAAATTCTAAAAAATAAAGGTCTACAAATACGTTGCATTCCTCACGGCAGGCGAGGACTGGCTCAATGTAAATCGACCTGCAAAGCCCAACCCTATGCCTTGATTAACTACCGCTTAAAATTCAATTCGCAAAGGAAAAGAGAACACTGAAAACCCTGGTTCTGAGTCGAGAAGCGAACACGCTACCTCACTGTAAATTGAGCTGCAAAGACCACGCTGGTTCTGACAAAAATTTGAGCGTAAAACCCTATTCTTGATCAGCTGCTTCTTTAAACGCAATTTATAAAGCAAACCAGAGCACTTATTGCCCTTTCAAACTAGAAATTGTATTAAAGCTTGCTCACCTGTTAGGTCCTCTTGAACAGACAAGGAACAGCTGTACACTAATTTCGGACCACGAGTTGTAAATACAAGACCATGACCTCACTACCCAAATATGGGGTCTTGCTTACACCCAAATATGGTCAAAAATGCAAATTTTAGAATTTTCTAAGATTTTAGAATTTAAGAGTTTTTGCCTACATTGCGCAACGTTATAATTCTGCTGCAGAGGCAACCTCGTCGGCAATTAGCAGGAAAAAGACCTCTGTTAACGAGAACAGTTTTGCAAATCCTATTTCGCATGGTAAAAAGACGAAATCTTCGAAATTTGGATTTGAATTTCTTAATTGAAAATCCCCCTTGAGATGGATTTTGGGCCTTAAAATCCGTTTTTGATTTCGCGTTTTGTTACAAAACCCGAAATCCCGATTTCAGAATCTTAATCCAGAATCTTCAATCAAAAGCACTTTATGTTTGAAACTTAACCCGGGGGGGGGGGACTGCGCATATGAAAGGGGTGGGGATGCCCGTCGGAAATTTTGAATTAAACCCCTAAAGGAGACCGATCTGGGCGTGGCCCAAGCTTTTTTTTTTGACCCCTAAAAGAGACCATGTTAAAACACAGACAATATATATATATTTATATTTTTTCGCGTGCAACCCTAAACGAGACCTTCACGGCTAAATATTATGGCATTTTGCCCAGAACACCCTAAGTGAGACCAAAATCCGAAATTTCCACCCCTAAGCGAGACGACGAGCATCCCTACCCCTCTCATAGACGGAGTTCCCCCCCTGGGAACTTATCACTGACCCTCTTGTGAGAAAGTAAATTACATTGCACACTCGTTCTATTACGAAAAGGGCGCTTGCAGCGACGCCTGTGGTCTCAGTCTAAGATGTTAATCATCTAATATTAGTGCTTTAATTTGTTCCGGGTATTCCCTGAGTTCCTTCTCCAAGGGGTGATTGTGCAACATTTCACTCCTTTCCGTAGAAGCCAAAAGATCATCCTTGTTCAAAACGCTTCTTTTGTAACAATCAAGAGGCAGGTTAAGACCCCCAAGATGGTGTTTTCAAGTGGTACTAAGAGAAGAGGAAAGTGCTTTATAAAAGCACAGTGACCTCTGTACTTTTTTAAGATAGCCATTGCAAGAGAGTGGTTTTCCAATAGTCCAGTTTCGAATTAAAAATTACCGCTGAATACAAACATTAACGACACATTCATACAGGGTTAGCCTCGACATAAAGTAAAATATTCAAAAATTCCGGCAAGTAAGTGTTTGAAATTTGAATATACACAATAGACAGAGCAATAAACAGGACTTTCTCGCTGGATTTTGTGGATATATATTACTTCAGATGGAGGCTAAGCCTGTACAAATGCGTCTTCACTTCTTTGATTCATAGCGAACTCGAAACTGGACTATTCTCTAAAACATTCTTGAATTAATCGGGGGCTTGGTCTTGAATTTGATGAAGAACTATTGTACACGCGTCTGGCACTACAAAATGGACCAGGTATGGTGAGAATTTTCTTCTTTATGAGTTCCTTAGAGATGCTGTTCCGTACAGAGAGTTGCCGTTCCTTATTTTAAAAACGAGTAATGCGGAGTCTTTTCCCTCTCATGATGGACAATATTCGAACGATCGTGAACGACTTTCAAGTTCAGAGGAATGACAATATGCGTGGATTTTCCGAGGGATACGCCTTAGAGAAGCAGGTTGTTCAATTCAGCTATTTTTGTTTGCTTTTCTTCACATGGCTGAAAACAAGAACTAACTGGTAATTACGTAGTTTTATCAGAAGGGCTTACTTCAAACTTAATGAACAAAGTTTCATCTATAACATACGAGCCCGCAATAAGTTTTTCATGCGAGAAAAATCTTCCAAACCCTCTTCGTTCGTTTTCTGCACTCGCTGCTCGCTGCATGCTCTTCCATGAGGGGTCTGGAACAAAGGACTTAACAAAATTTTGCCTCTGCGTTAAATCAGGGTTTTGGTCAATAATAGTTAGAGTTACTTTATATTGAAATGGCTAGGGCAATATGGCATCATATTGCCCCTTCATTAGAGCAATATATAGCGATATATGAGCATTTTTAGCTTCCTTTGTTCCGTTCGGATACATCGCTAATTTCATCTTGTAACCTTGTGGACCAACGTAGAAAGAGTCGCTTTCGATTCGAACTTCGATGTCATTTCTTGCTCTTCTGAATCTTTCCCAGAAGTCTGTCACCTTCCATGTATATGGCGAGAATGTTTCTATATCTCTCTGTTTTTGTTTCAGTTCACTGAGATGCTTCCCAAGTGAACTGACTTTGTGGTTGATTCCTTGATGTTCCACCTTCATCTTTTCAAATTCTTGCCTCAAAATTTTAAGCTCGTCCTGCACCCTACTCACTTTGTCTACAGAGAGCTCAAAATGGGAACGCAAGTTTTGTTCCAAATGATCGTTTATTTCACATCTTTTGACCTGGAAATAAAGAAAACCAAAGTCCGCATTGTAGAGCAGTATAAATAAATTTTAAAGTAAAGCCATAACTTAGACGGCTCCAACAAACCGATTCACGGCATTGCAACCTCGTCCCCAGGGCGCTCTTCCCTGGCTTAGGAGGAGGGTCTCAGGGTCTGGATGACTCGGGCCCGCCCCTTATCTGAAGGTCTGGGATCCGCCACTGGCAGGCACAGGCTTTGTCAGGCGTACTGTCGCTTCCACTCATTTTTAATCTTCTGGAAAATACTACATTGTATAAGAAAACAACGCTAAAAGTATGCTTTGGAAATACGGTTAGCACAATGATAAATGTTTTCAATCCTATATCTAATGAAAAACAAACATTTTCAAAGCATCCTATCCTAAGGCAGAAGACGAGAGTCCGAGGACATTGGTTATCAATGTGATAACAAGTCTAAAAGAAAATGGTAAAATTAGCGAACTAAGATCAAGTGCTTTTAAAATTTTTATCATATAAGGACAATAGCAGTTTTAAAGGAAGGTGTTTCAAAGTTCAGATTCCCGGTCACGCTAACTTTAGTAACACAACTTACACTAAATGTATTAACCATTTCTCTAGGAATCGACTCCCCACTGCTGTTCCCGTCTGGGCAAGCAAGTGTAATCTTACTGCACTTTTGAAAGTCGTCCTGCAACTAGGCTGGGTTGTATAGCAACGGATAAACAATTTTCAGTAAACCACTGAAAAAGAAACAATAAAATACGTCTTACAGGCTTAAATAATCACGTTATTAATACACCCCGTCAATAAAAATGCTTCGCAACTTGCTTCAGATGCCATGACATTTGGCCTATCAATTCGGTGACGCCGCATAACTCGGCTGCTTCGCGGGCTGTTTTCCTCATTCCCAAAATCAGTCATATGATTCGCCATTGCAAATTTGTATTGCAGAGCGGAAGCTTTTTTCTAAAAAAACTCAAACGACATGTTCTTTTCTAATTAGTCTCGCTTGCTTAAGCAAAGCGAGAATCTTAAAATGCAGTCGTTTTTTTTTTCGTCGGTGGGACCTAGTTTGTAGGCCCCGCGTTCCTAGCGAAGACCGTGGAAACTGGGGATAAGAATCGTGACGACTTTCATTTTGTGGAAATGAGTCTCGTGATGAGAATGCAGTTTATTTCGGCGATGACTGAAATGACGCATGTAAGTTTGACAATGACGTAATTTTCCTCGAATGGACGCCCTTGATTTTCATGTAAATATGCACGACATGAAGGCACATCCCCAAGCAGGATGAGAAAATATTATAGCGGGGAAATCCTCAGGATTTTGTGGCTTTTCAAGGCGTTACGTTTCTCAGAATATTGTCGCAATTACAGGAAATGTACGGTTAAATAGATTCACTTTGTTTTATGTATTTAATTGATAGATTTTCGCAGTTGTTACGAT